TAATAGCTTCCAGAGTTGTACAAGAATGTAGTTGTATTGCCATTTGGTTAAAAGCTTCAAAAACTGCTTGGAGCACTCTTAAATGATTGTTTACGTTCGGTTAAACTGTTTGACAGGAGCCATAAAGGATGTGGAATAAACGCATCAAAACAAACCATTGGGAGCTCTTATACAACACCTGAGTTGATCAAACGTTGAATAATAGCTTCCAGAGTTGTACAAGAATGTAGTTGTATTGCCATTTGATTAAAAGCTTCAAAAACTGCTTGGAGCACTCTTAAATGATTGTTTACGTTCGGTTAAACTGTTTGACAGGAGCTTCTATAGGATGTGGAATAAACGCATCAAAACAAACCATTGGGAGCTCTTATACAACACCTGAGTTGATCAAACGTTGAATAATAGCTTCCAGAGTTGTACAAGAATGTAGTTGTATTGCCATTTGGTTAAAAGCTTCAAAAACTGCTTGGAGCACTCTTAAATGATTGTTTACGTTCGGTTAAACTGTTTGACAGGAGCCATAAAGGATGTGGAATAAACGCATCAAAACAAACCATTGGGAGCTCTTATACAACACCTGAGTTGATCAAACGTTGAATAATAGCTTCCAGAGTTGTACAAGAATGTAGTTGTATTGCCATTTGATTAAAAGCTTCAAAAACTGCTTGGAGCACTCTTAAATGATTGTTTACGTTCGGTTAAACTGTTTGACAGGAGCTTCTATAGGATGTGGAATAAACGCATCAAAACAAACCATTGGGAGCTCTTATACAACACCTGAGTTGATCAAACGTTGAATAATAGCTTCCAGAGTTGTACAAGAATGTAGTTGTATTGCCATTTGGTTAAAAGCTTCAAAAACTGCTTGGAGCACTCTTAAATGATTGTTTACGTTCGGTTGAACTGTTTGACAGGAGCTTCTACACTGATAGGCAAAATAAAGTGCCCACCCCATCATTTTTGAAATTTCTCTCATTTATTTGGTTCAAATTCAAATAAACACACCGTAGTCTGTTTCGATGTCTTACCTTTATTATTCTTTTAAAGTTACACCTATGGAATACTGAAAATATAAAGTTTTACTTGAAGTAAAAGAAAATCAATTTGGATTGAAAAAGAAAACAGTGACAAAAAAAAGTGCCCACTTCAAAAATCGGTATGTTTTCGATAAGTTTCCATCGGAAAACCCCTCGATTGTTTTTGTTTTGAAAGTTTGACATGTATTGAAGCAAACGGGTGGAACTGGTGCATTTGTACACGTGATCGCATTTGAATCAGTTGAAAAAAAATGGAGGACGTAGTGATTTCGAAAGCAATTCCCGTGTGTATCCGAAAATTGGTTGTTCGTGATGTGCAAAACGGTGAATCGCACCGGTCTGTCGCTAGGAAGTACAATATCAGCAAAACAGCGGTCGGGAAAATTCTGCAGAAAATGAAATCGTTCGGATCAGTGGTGGATCGCCCTGGCAGAGGCAGGATGCGCAAAACGGATGCGAGAACGGACACCAAGATCATGCGTGAAGTGAAGAAGAACCCGAAGGTAACTGTCCGCGAGATCCAGGAGGCTCTTCAGCTAACAGTTTCCAGTCGAACTGTTCGTCGCCGTCTCGTAGCACAGGGGTTGAACAGCAAAGTTGCTCGGAAGCGCCCATTTATCAGCAAGGCAAACAAAGTCAAACGGCTTAAGTTTGCTAAGGAGCATGCTGATAAGCCCCTAGAGTTCTGGAAAACGGTTCTCTGGACGGACGAATCAAAATTCGAACTGTTCAACCGGAAGCGACGGGTTCGTGTGTGGTGTAGATCGGGTGAGGAGCTTCAGGAGCGCCACATACAAGGCACGGTGAAGCATGGAGGAGGAAATGTGATGGTCTGGGGGTGCTTTTCGTGGGGTGGAGTGGGAAGCCTGGTGAAAATCGACGGGATAATGACGGCAGATTCCTACATCGACATCCTGCGGGAAAATCTGGAAGTTTCGCTGATCCAGACGGGCCTTGAGGAGAAATTCGTATTCCAGCAGGACAACGATCCGAAGCATACTGCCAAGAAGACTAAGTCTTTCTTCCGGTCATGTCGAATTAAACCACTGGAATGGCCTCCACAAAGCCCGGACCTCAACCCCATCGAGAATTTGTGGGCGATTCTCGATGCCAGGGTTGACAAAACTGGTGTTACCAATAAAAATAACTATTTTGAAGCCCTGGAGCGCGCCTGGGAAGAACTAGATCCACAGCACCTGAAGAATCTAGTGGAGAGCATGCCGAAGCGCCTGCAGCTGGTCCTGAAGGCCAAAGGAGGACACATTAACTATTAGGCTGGTATTCTTTTACTTTATTTTATGTTTTCTGGAGTTAAAATGCAGTGGGCACTTTTTTTTGTCACTGTTCTTTTTTACACCCATTTTGATTTTTTTTTCTTCGAGTCAGTCTCTTCTTTTTATCTGGTATTCTATAAGTGAAACTTAAAAAGAATATAAAGAATAAGATATAAAAAATACTACAGTGTATTTACTTTAATTTGAACCAAATAAATGAGAGAAATTCAAAAAATGATGGGGTGGGCACTTTATTTTGCCTATCAGTGTATAGGATGTGGAATAAACGCATCAAAACAAACCATTGGGAGCTCTTATACAACACCTGAGTTGATCAAACGTTGAATAATAGCTTCCAGAGTTGTACAAGAATGTAGTTGTATTGCCATTTGGTTAAAAGCTTCAAAAACTGCTTGGAGCACTCTTAAATGATTGTTTACGTTCGGTTAAACTGTTTGACAGGAGCCATAAAGGATGTGGAATAAACGCATCAAAACAAACCATTGGGAGCTCTTATACAACACCTGAGTTGATCAAACGTTGAATAATAGCTTCCAGAGTTGTACAAGAATGTAGTTGTATTGCCATTTGATTAAAAGCTTCAAAAACTGCTTGGAGCACTCTTAAATGATTGTTTACGTTCGGTTAAACTGTTTGACAGGAGCTTCTATAGGATGTGGAATAAACGCATCAAAACAAACCATTGGGAGCTCTTATACAACACCTGAGTTGATCAAACGTTGAATAATAGCTTCCAGAGTTGTACAAGAATGTAGTTGTATTGCCATTTGGTTAAAAGCTTCAAAAACTGCTTGGAGCACTCTTAAATGATTGTTTACGTTCGGTTAAACTGTTTGACAGGAGCCATATAGGATGTGTAATAAACGCATCAAAACAAACCATTGGGAGCTCTTATACAACACCTGAGTTGATCAAACGTTGAATAATAGCTCCCAGAGTTGTACAAGAATGTAGTTGTATTGCCATTTGGTTAAAAGCTTCAAAAACTGCTTGGAGCACTCTTAAATGATTGTTTACGTTCGGTTAAACTGTTTGACAGGAGCCATAAAGGATGTGGAATAAACGCATCAAAACAAACCTTAAACTGTTTGACAGGAGACATATAGGATGTGGAATAAACGCATCAAAACAAACCATTGGGAGCTCTTTTAAAACACCTGAGTTGATCAAACGTTGAATTATAGCTTCCAGAGTTGTACAAGAATGTAGTTGTATTGCCTTTTTGGTTAAACGCTTCAAAAGCTGCTTGGAGCACTCTTAAATGATTGTTTACGTTCGGTTTACCTATATGCTTTATAAAACCTACGATAACTTTTATAGCACCTTTGTTAAACCGATTGACAAGAGCTCTGGATCGTTTAAGAGTGCTCCAAACAGTTTTTGAAGCTTTTAACCAAATGGCAATACAACTACGTTCTTGTTCAACTCTGGAAGCTATTATTCAACGTTTGATCAACTCAGGTGTTGTATAAGAGCTCCCAATGGTTTGTTTTGATGCGTTTATTTCACGTTCTATATAGCTCTTGTCAATCAGTTTAACAAAGGTGCTATAAAAGTTATCGTAGGTCTTATAAAGCATATAGTTAAACCGAACGTAAACAATCATTTAAGAGTGCTCCAACAGCTCTTAAAACTTTTAATCAAATGGCAATACAACTACATTCTTGTTCTCTAGTTCCTGGTTTCCGGATCATTGAGTTTTATGCGTACAACATATTACATCGTGATGAAGTTTGATTCTAATGTAACGTTAGGTTCTGTTGTCGTTGGATGTATTCTGATGTCAAATTTTACATCGTCAAGACGTTTGATTCTGATGTAACGTTTGAGGCTAATGTATTTTTATGTACTTGGACGTCACACTGAAGTCTGAATACATTAAGGGTACCGCAATATACGTTAAAATTTAATGTATTGAAGATGTCTGCTGATGTTTCCTACATTACAATTTCTATTCGGGTTGTTACATTAGTCTATTTGAAAAGTGACGCGAGAACTGTCAAAAAAGTTTAGCCGATTATCCTCGCGATGAACACGTAACACTGAGTTCATTCGTGACGTCACCCTGCAGAACCTAATCATCCTAATTGCTCCGCTCTCCTGTTAAATTTCCATGAGTGCATAGAATTTTTTGCGTTTAATCGTCTTTTTCTATCTAGCACACAGGGATGACTGGATGGTTTGTTTTCCCACTAATCTGTTTCCCTCTTGCTCGCACTCTTTCAATTTAAATGGTACATGCGTGTGCACCGAGTAAACGTTAAAAAGCTCTATTGACGAGTGCACGGATGGATTTAAGTTCACTCACTCGACTAAAAGTGACACAACAACGGGGCCCTGTTTACTAAAAATGAACACATGTGTTCATTTTTAGTAAACAGGGCCCCGCTGTTGTGTCACTTTTTGTCGAGTGAGTGAACTCAAATTCATCCGTGCACTCGTCAATGAACAACTCAAATCCATCGGTGCAGTCGGTGCAGTCCGCAGGTGCAGTACAAATCCATCTTGTTGCCTTCAAATCTACCCCTTGTTGCGTGTTGCGCATCTCCCTTATCTGTCAAAATATGCGTTTTGCGTTTCCGTCGGCGCACTCTTCACTCCTACACGTAACTGCTGCTGTATCGCTCACTCTACCGGCAAAATCCGACTGGAACACCGACTGCTAAGATCGAACCGCTTTTCAGCTCTCATACTCGTTCGCTCGATTCAACCGCGACGTCCATCTTTCCGAGTCGCAAGAAGAAAGTGTCACTCTTGGGTGTTGTAAAGTTCGAACTACAGCCGTCGAAGAACCAGGAAGGAAGCAAAAACTACCCCTTCGAAGATGTCGATGATCTCTGCCCGTTTGGCCGCTCAGGTGGCCCGCCAGCTGCCGAGAACCGCTAGCCAGGTAAGGGTAGAAGCTGGAATTTTCGGTCTGTTCTTATCTTTTTTCGCTCCCCACCGTCGCCGTAATGGAGGCTGCTCGACGTCGCAGAAATTGGTGACATAATCAAACCGGGAAAAACGGATTAGAGCCGATTGGAGGTGATTTTTACCTTCGGAATAGTGGAGAAATTAATCTGGCAGTACTGCAAAACCCAAGGGTGGAGATTTTGCTGGAAATTTGCACAATTTGCTGTGACTTGGCTGGATTTTCTTCGGAGCCGGGGTGATTGTTATGTAACCTCACCCAGAATTGAAATAGGTGGAAGTGTAAAATTTTATGCCGCTGGAAGAAATTCAAGTGCAAACGAACGGTGTCGATTGATATGACAGGAAAATGGAAAAAGCAAATTTCGAAACGAACAAATTTTAAGACCCTATTATTATAATAGACTTGAGTAATTGAAAAGTGTAGGGTTACTTGTTTTTTCTATGTGTTAATTCTTAAAGAATGTTATTTTTTCTCGTCATGATTAAGGATTACGTTTGACTAGGTAAATTACAATTACAAGCAAATATTAATATACGTTTCTTAAAACGAAGGCATTCTTTTATTAAGTTGTGTTACGTTGAAGTAGTGAATCAAGAGCCAACCATTTATGTAACGGGCGAAGAATGCGTACTCAAATGACACATTTAAGCAAAAAAGTTATATTTACGATATTTTTGTATCTTATATAACAATCAAAATTGAGTAACACCGTGGTCCGCTGCCCAAACAAATCTTGAAATAGGTATCATTTTCATGAAGTTAAAATCGATCACTATAGAAAAATCAGTTCAAAATTCTCTCCAAGCATATATTGCGCAATATGATTGTTTAATTTCTATTACTGTAATTATAGTATACCATCAAAAATTGCAATAACTAAGTTTTTTATTAACATTTTAAATGTCTCTTTTCTCATTATTTGTAGATCGCCAAGATCGCCGTGCCAGCTGTGACGGTTGCTGCCCGCAATTTCCATGTTTCCACTGGTAACCGTGGTGCGGAGATCTCTTCCATCCTGGAGGAAAGAATCCTCGGATCGGCCCCGAAAGCTGATTTGGAGGAAACTGGACGCGTGTTGAGCATCGGTGACGGTATCGCCCGTGTGTACGGTCTGAAGAACATCCAGGCCGATGAAATGGTGGAATTCTCCTCCGGTCTCAAGGTAAGTTAGGATGACTTCTTGATTCTCTAACTCCACAGACATAATACCGCTTTTCAACGATTTCAGGGTATGGCCCTTAACTTGGAACCCGACAACGTCGGTGTTGTCGTCTTCGGTAACGACAAGCTGATCAAGGAAGGTGACATCGTCAAGCGTACTGGTGCTATCGTCGACGTCCCGGTCGGTGATGAGCTGCTTGGTCGTGTCGTCGATGCCCTGGGTAATGCCATTGATGGTAAGGGTGAAATCAAGACCAACCAGCGCTTCCGTGTCGGTATCAAGGCCCCGGGTATCATCCCACGTGTGTCTGTGCGTGAACCCATGCAGACCGGTATCAAGGCCGTCGATTCGCTGGTACCAATTGGTCGTGGACAGCGTGAACTGATCATCGGTGACAGACAGACCGGGTATGTAATGGCTTGCCTTCGTCGTAAGCCTAGGCCTGCTTCTAATATACCATCCACTGACTATCAATTTTATTTATTTCGACAGAAAAACCGCTCTGGCCATCGATACCATCATTAATCAGCAGCGTTTCAACAACGGTACGGATGAGTCGAAGAAACTGTACTGTATCTACGTTGCCATCGGTCAGAAGCGTTCGACCGTGGCCCAGATCGTGAAGCGTCTGACTGATGCCGGTGCCATCAACTACACCATCATCGTCTCTGCCACCGCTTCCGATGCTGCTCCTCTGCAGTACTTGGCTCCGTACTCCGGTTGCGCCATGGGAGAGTTCTTCCGTGACAACGGAAAGCACGCTCTGATCATCTATGACGATTTGTCCAAACAGGCCGTCGCCTACCGTCAGATGTCTCTGCTGCTGCGTCGTCCCCCAGGTCGTGAGGCCTACCCTGGTGATGTATTCTACCTGCATTCGCGTCTGCTGGAGCGTGCCGCTAAGATGAACCCAACTCTGGGAGGTGGTTCCCTGACTGCCCTGCCCGTCATTGAAACCCAGGCTGGTGATGTGTCCGCCTACATTCCAACCAATGTCATTTCCATCACTGACGGACAGATCTTCTTGGAAACTGAATTGTTCTACAAGGGTATCCGACCAGCCATTAACGTCGGTTTGTCTGTATCCCGTGTCGGATCTGCTGCCCAAACCAAGGCCATGAAGCAGGTTGCCGGTTCCATGAAGCTGGAGTTGGCCCAGTACCGTGAGGTTGCTGCTTTCGCTCAGTTCGGTTCCGATCTGGATGCTGCCACCCAGCAACTGCTGAACCGTGGTGTCCGTCTGACTGAACTGCTGAAGCAGGGTCAGTACGTTCCAATGGCCATCGAAGAGCAGGTTGCCGTTATCTACTGCGGTGTCCGAGGTTACCTGGACAAGATGGATCCCACCAAGATCACTGCCTTCGAGCGGGAGTTCTTGGCCCATGTCAAGACCAACGAGAAGGCCCTTCTGAGCACGATCGCTAGCGAAGGTAAAATCTCGGATGAGACGGAAACCAAGCTGAAGAGCATTGTCACCAGCTTCATGTCTACGTTCAGCGGTTAAAAAGTGCTTTTTGTGTTAGCTTTTAAACCGAGCCGGGATTCAACAAATGCATAACCCCAGCTGCGCCTTCGTCGGATTACTAGCTTCATTTTAGTGATGCGACGGAGCTGTTAAGTTAAAACCACCATCAATACAACAAACTAGTAGGTACCATCTTACGAGCGAGCATGCCGGATAAAAGGGGAACATAGAGAATTGCGATACCAACGCCGAGAGTAAACAACTGAACCTGTGTTAAGTAAGGTAAAAACGAAAAAAAAATGAAAAATCGCAGCGACATTTATAGTAGCTCTTCAAATTGTATTAATCAACAAAAATTTACGGAGATAATAATCCTGATATCGAAATACAGTTTCCAACAATTAAACACCTCCTAGCCCATTTACCGTTGAAAGAAATACCTAAAAATTAAGAAATGTGCCCTTGGAATGTTGACCATGGAAAGTTCAGTGTGCGTCAGTTAATAGTTGTAAATATCTTATTGGCTTCGCTGCTTCCAAAACCATCGGGCATTATGGACATCTGGGCCTAACGTGACGCAAAGCCATTGAATGGTGAGTGACGTCCTCGATGTGATGGCGTCAAAAATGTCTGCCCCTTGAAACCGTCGAGAACCAATGAGAACCATTTACACGAATTTGCAAAATAAAAAAAATAAACTGTGATCGACGACGTTATTCCACAGAGGGAAATTCGATGAAGAAATCTCTCAAGGCAGTATGGTCAACTTTTCAGTATACCCTGGTATAATGTTTTTTAGCCCCTGCGCTTCTGTCAGAGAGCGTATAGGTCGTCGTTGGTCGTGGCACATTTCGAGTTTGAGAGAGTGATTGCATTTAGATAAAAAAAAAATGCAAGTACTTTCGCGGATTATGTACCCGAAGTTGCGATAGTGAAGGTAACAAGCAGACATAACACTCATAAAATGTTCATCGAAATCGCTTTTAACGGTCAATTTAAATGTTTCTTAGTTGGTTGTACCGCCTACACGCTAACTTGAAAGTACCCATTAATGGTTGAAAAAGACCCATTTTGAAGAAAAGTGGCTTAACTCATTAAATGAGTAAATTTTTTACCCATTAATTAGTATCTGTTACCCATTAATGAGTAATTGTTAATCATTAATGGGTAACAGATACTCATTAATGGGTAAAATTGTTTAATCATTAATGAGTTAAGCCACTTTTCTTCAAAATTTGTCTTTTTTTACTCATTAATGAGTACTTTCAAGTTAGCGTGTAGAAATACTAGAAGGAGAGATGAGCGGAGAGAATGTTTTGAGCCAAATGAACTGTCAAAATCTGAGCCAAACGAACATTCCCATTAGATTTTTTCCGAGGATTTCTTATTCTTACTAGATTAAATTTGAGAGTATTGCAATCGAACAGGAATTCAATCACCTCTATGTTTCGTGTGCTTCTCAAATTCAACTAGTTTTTGGAATCAAAAGCAATATTCTAGCTCTATTGATTAATTGATCTTAGTTGGTTAATTAATGGCACCAAAAAATGTGCAAAATATTGCGATGCAATCAATTATTAATTTACACGTAAATCGAATCAAAAGTGAAAGTCATGTGAAATGCTAAGTTTTAGTAGGGGTTGCAAGATAATTTAGATACAAATCCCTGCTGCCGAATTGTATTTTGTTTTCTCCGCCCATCTCTCCTTCTAGTATTTCTAGTACCGCCACTTGTAGCGCACACAATCAATTCCCTTGCGTTTGACGTTTACACAATCATCTGTTGAGTGTATTGCCTATCACAGTGTATACGGCAGATGGCGGTAGGGTTTACAATGATAAATGTTCAATGTGTTGTGCCTGTTTGTCTGTGATACTGATCCCTTTCGTATTTCTTTCATTCTCTTTTCGCACACGGAGCGCTCGGTGGACCAGCGACTTAAAACGCGAGCCTTACGCCAGATGACCATGGCAATACAGTAACCGATGGTGGACATCAGATCGGCCACACCAACCAGCGATGAAGAGTCAACATCGAACCTGGAACGGAAATTAGTGCGGATTTATCTCCCTCGGAAAACAAGAAAAACCCGGAAAAGGCGGAATCATGTTAGAAACAACCAAGGACGATCTACGGAAGGAAATTGCCGGTGAAGCACGGAATGCAATACGAAGCGTTAGAGAAAAAATCCAAGGGATTCCAAAGGAAGTAATTAACGGCGGCTGAAGAGCAGAATATGGTGAGAGCTGTCCAACTTATTGTTTGCAAATTAAATATAAAAATTAAACTAAATAGGGGAAATGGCTCTAATGTTGGCCTATGGATCTAAGATTGGGCCCATCGCTAAAAATCTGCTGTTTATAAATTTGATCTAGATGAACCCGTCATTGGGACGGTACTAATAGATATTTTGGGTCGCTATTGAACATTTAGTCGATTGCTGAATTTATGTATGTGCCCAAATTAGGGGCATTTAGGCCGAAATTACATCCATTTTCCCTACATGCCAGTGTTGAAAAGTATATTTCCGAACCTGGAAGTGTGTATGTATAACCAATATCCATTTAATAACGGTGATGCATGCATGCGGGGCTTATTGTGAGTTAATGTAACCTTGAGATGGGCGTGACTTTCCAGACATTCTGAAATGGGTTGCTGGATCTGCAATAGAGCTATCACCTTCTAACTCCCGGACTAAAGCTGTCTACTATGAAAATAAATGCGACATTGCGACAGAGTTCTTCCATAATAACACTGCCGGCCAGTGGGGGTTATACTTCTGGCTTCACTCTTAGCGGGACTTTTAATATAACATTGACTCTGGTGTCAACAGCTTCGAGCACCCTCAACTTCTTTCCAATATTCCAATCCATTTAACTTAGGGGTTGTTCATAAGCTACGTAGACAATTGTCCATACACAATTTTTAAAATTTGTATGGGCCGTGGATAATTGGGGGGGGGGGGGCCCCTATAGTCACTATATTTCAAGCTAAACATTGCATTAGGTCCTAAGTAACATTGATCGATTCTCTTCGTCGACTTTCTCTTTCGTTAATAACTTGAGCACATAAACGTTTCTTCTCGCGTTTCTTGTTGTGTTTGTCGTATTAGATGCTACATAAAAGCTTCTTTTATCGATCTGTGTGCTGGAAATACCTGAGAATGTCTTTACATGGCCGTAGGAATACAAATAGAAAGTCGGCGAAGAGAATCTGTCAATGTTACTTAGGACCTAATGCAATGTTCAGCTTGATTTATAGTCAGGCGGATAGAATTTCAATCTATCAAAAAGCGGAACCAATTCAATATATTGTAGACCAACAATTGAAAAGGTACTATCAACTTTTATAAACCTGGGTACTGCGGACTCACTCAATGTGCTTGTCACTTGGGAGCCAGTCATAACTGTCAAACGGGAGCCAAACATTCAGAAGCAACAAACTCAGTTACTGTTTATGTTTAATTTCTTTATATTTGCAACGATGATGATTTCCCATAGTGACACATATCACCTTCTTAATGCTTCAGTATACCTCAAACGATTAATTCTTGGTTGTTAATAGAACTTCCTTGATGCAATCGGCTGCTTCATGCAGACTGAGCAATTCTGATTATAGTATCAGATTTGTTCTGTATACAGAGGAACTGGGAGGGCTTATTAGAAACTTCTCATCAATAAAGTAATGACCTTCTAGTAAATTTTGCATATCATTTTATTAATATTTTATGTTATTTAAGCATATTACTTTTGTTACAGTTAGCATTAGCATACAATACAAGAGATTTAATATTACTTGCTCGGTTTTGCGTAAAATAATCAATATATATTTTGCTTTGAATTTTTTTTTTCGTGGTTTCAAAATTTTCCTAGTTTGGTTAGAAGTTTCGAAGCTAACACATGTCCACAGGCCTAATAGAAAGATAGACAGACAAAGCGTATCATGAAGAATAGTTGCATGCAGGGTTGCTTCCACTCACTTTCTATAGATGAGTGATTTTCGGAGTTTTGAATTCGTTAGATGTTGTAATGGAGGTTTGTGTTGTTGAATGCGGGAGGAGATTGGAGGGCGGGTGTTTGACGCATAGAGCCTGTCAATTTCGCTTTCAGAGTGTCGCAGTCAGCGGTTTTATGATTCGTGAGCGCTCGCGATTCGTAGAATCGTTGATTGTGACTGCCAGTGGATTTGGCGGGTTTTGTGTGTCGGACGCTTGCTTTTTGGCCTTTTCTTGTGTCTAACATGTGCAGGGTATCATTATAGCGTCTAATGGTTTTGAGATTCCTGGTTGCGTGAAATATACTTGTGAGAATATCTTTTTGAGATTTTAGTAGTCACGTTTTGTTTGTAGTTTATATGTTATTTCTTTCATGTAATTATCGTAAATAATATTTATTCAATAATAGATAATTCATCCATATATTCAATAATAAATTTACGAATGACTATAATTTGGATACCTAACAATTGGACAGAATCACTAGCAAGAATAGGTTGTGTTCGCCTTCGAAAATATCGATTCGTTTTTTCAGGGTTGTAGTTTTGGTTTTCATCAGTGACCCGGCTCTGATTGTGAACGATTTAGGTAGTATTTTTAGGTAACTATTTAGCTTTTAGCACAACTTTGCTACTACGAATCCACAAAAGACATTAAATTGGAGGCGGATTCTGGTACGGAATTACAGGCTGCTATTCTGAGCAACTTATCTTCATAAAATTAATAATTACATTTAGGTATTAATTAGCAAATATGAATAGTAGTTAACTTTAACATAATTTTGATAAAACAATAATTTCATCCAGTTCACTTTAAAATAAACAAGTATGAAAGGAGATTGCTTAGAATAAAGATAAAAGTAATAAGCGCAATATTAAACGACATTAAATTTGAATCTGATACGGTAGGCCATATAACAGAGTCGATAGCCATTGCAAATCAACCATCTCTACCTGCTTATTTTCCTAACTTTCACTATTATTGCTGTTACTCTGACTATCCCCTATGTTCAACAGCTTTCCTTACTATCCGGTATCGTAAACAGGATTCATTTGACCCCTGTGGTTATTATTCTGTGATGCCAAATCTATACCTCTACCCTGGTGCAGTATGGACAGCGATTTTTCGCTGGTGACTTGACCCTATGACCCCCTTCTGTGCTTGAAAATGAAAATGAAAATGAAATAATAATTAACAGATTTAAGGCAGAGTTCATTAACAAAAAATATATAATCAAGTTTTGGTTGCAGACACTAAGATGATTCAAACCAATTGTGTGCTTTTATTTGTATTATCGCCATTATATGATCACATCCATATTCAGAATTGACGCGATAGCACTTATGAAATGCGCCTCCCCATTATTCGTCTTTCCATGGGTCAACTAAACAATACTATGGGTAGAACGGTA